TTAGGTCAGGTCACAGGACATGTGGCTCCAGCCAACGTGTCCAGATTCTTACACTCCGAGCTCCGTGTTCTCCTCGTGCTTCGACTGTCAAGCGCTCCTTTGACCCAGCTTATCTGCAGTAGCTGGATGTGGATGTGATTCTTCCCGTTCACTGGTTTTCAATGCTGGAAGGTAGAAGTGTCTATACATAACTTGGAAATCGGTCTAGTTTGGGATAGGTAGAGTCTACACCTACGTAAGTTACGTTTATGAGTCAACGTAAAGGGAGACAGTGAGGGAGTGGGTAAGGTAATAAGAACGAAGAACGAGAGTGAATAATTCCAGAGATATCAACATTTCTCCGAAGTTTTTATCGCAAAATCCATCTCCCAAAAGCTCTCGCAAGCTCGCCCACTCACCGCCATCTTGCGTTCACGCTTCGGATCAGTCTGACTTCGGTTGTGCATACAAGCAAAAGCAGACAACCTTACATGTTGCACTAGCCTCTTATCGTACCAACCATAATCGTCTTTTCTGTTAAACGTTGGAGCACAAGGTCGATGTGCTCTGTTTAGCACCCTAAGGGTGTCATATTTGGCAGCACCCAAACAGATACCACCGCCATTGTGGCGTCACAGGCTAGTGGATTTGTAACTGCACGACAGCAACTCAAATTAGCTGGGATTCAGCACAGAACATCCATGTTGCAGCCCGCATGACCCAAGCTAAACTAAATATGGAGCGGTTGTGGTAGTCGAATGATGGCTTTCTGCTCCCTGTTGACCAGCCTCAGCCGCAATCCACATTAGGTCGAAACAGGCGAGTGCCTCTTTTATTCCATTTGAACCTCTTTTTGGTCTGTAGGAGTTCAGCGCACCAGTGATAGCTTAGAGACGTGGTTTCCTCGGCGACCGTAGTAGAGTTAGTTGTCCCCTACTCGGGTTCACTACAGGTTAGTTAACAATTTCGTCTCACAGTGCCGGACGAAATCTAGTCGGACCAATGATGTTTAGTTTGTTAAATGGGACCGCTCGCCCATTGCATTTGCAATCGGGTTCAGCATGAGGTATGGACGCATCAGCCACTCTGCCGCCTTTGGGTCTCGCAATCAGACTGACCACTGTTTCACATAGGGCCTTTCCATCCCCACCTGTTTTCCGCTTTAGTAGAGCTTGGGGTACAGCACGACGACATGGTATACTGACCACCAAGCTAGTCCACATCGGCTTTCAGACACTCTAATCCATGCTCACAACAGCATAGCCGCACGACAGTCTGTATCCACTGTGGTGATGCGTAGATTTACAGTTGGCGATATTGGTAAGAGAGTGCGAATTGAGCGAGTAGAAGACAAGAGTTTTGATAAGCCCTCGGAGTTTGTGACTATCTCTGGATAGCTTTATGACTATAGATTTACTACTGCAAATTGTTTACTATTATTATTTAGCATACTTATTCTAATGTTAGAATGGGAGGGAAATAATTATCGGAAAATTGTTTTATAGTGAAAAAGAAGGTAAACGTGGGTGTGTGGCGTGTGTAGCGTTACAAGATAAGACAATGAGAGTAAGGAAAGATTAGATCAAGGTAAAGAATAGTGATGATAACACCTTATGCAAACCGGTTTTAAACAGGGTTACTGTAGAGATGAAACATGCTCTGGCGGCTTGTTCCATCCATTAATGATTCTATGGGAGAAAAAATTTGCTCCAACACTTAAGTGCCCTGCAGGGCACTGAGTGCAGGTGGTCCCCCAGTCTGTAGCTGATTACACTTTCCTGTTTAGGTGTAGGCTTCAGGTTTTATCGCAATCCCATGCTCATTCAGTTTCAGTCTTTACAACCATTAACTACGCACTTTCGTGAGCCGGATTTTGGTTGCTGTCTTTTGGCGCCCCATTCGGATGAAAGAGCGGAATAAAGATTGGAAGATTACATAGCCTGCGCTTGTTTTCTTGCTGCCTTGTAGCTACACCATACTTGATTCGAATTTAGCCTTTTGTAAAGTGTCCACTTCCTACTCCTTGTAGCCAGAGACCTGTCTAAGCACGGTTTCCACCATGTTGGCCGTTGTCTCAGTCACCTGGGCCTAAGGGGTGCAAACTCCCCTATGAGCCTCAGTAAACCATCTTTCATTGCAGACCATCCCTCTTCGATTATAGGCTCAGTTGTTGATGGTTCCCAGCTTCAACCTAACGCTACCGCTTGAACACTTACCCCTTTCACACCCCCAGGGAACCACACCATCTTGATCCCTGACTTACTGTACTGCGCCAATACTTTTAGCTGAAGGACCGCGTGGTCGCTTCTGCCTAAAGGGACCTCTATCGTGAGACTAACGATATCTGACTTCACCCGAGATATCATCATCATCATCGTACAGCGAGATACAGTGAAGCGAACTTCACTGATCGCTTCGAAGCTCACAATGTACACAAATCAAGTGATAAAGCACAATATGGGGATATAGCTAAGTCAAGGATTGAGGGCCTCTGGTTGAAACGGAACGGGGCTCCCTTACATGCTCATCAAGCGCATGTGAATGGAGCCATTCCAGTAGCGCCCATCTCGTAGTTTCTCTAGGAGCCGGTTCTTCTTCCCAAACTATTTCCGGAAGGTTTAGATCACCCATGCTGAGGAATCTCCCAGCTAGCTAGTAGCCGACTACATCTGAGCCACAAATGTGCTACGGCACCAAAATTGCAGCGCATTTGCAGCCCATTAGTCGACTAATACCGCGCTAATAGCCGGTTACAATAAGCTATATTGCAGAACATTCTGTTTTTAGTTTTCCGCCTTAGGGTGGGTAATTGTCCTGTCCCTAATCCCACATTGATCATATATTTTCACATGGACTTAGCACACTTTGCGCACTGAAGTCTTAGGCACCCATTTGGAAAACCATCCTTCCCATCTGCCTAGTTCTCCTCAACCCCGAATAATCCCAGATGCCTCCTATTTACACCACTCATCGAATATCACTCAGCGTTTTATCATCAGGGCCAGAGATTCAGAAGCTATAGGATTTTTAAAGCCAAAATCCCAAAATCACTTAGCCGCGTTCAATGTTCGCACGCTCTATCAGATGGGCCAACAAACTGCCCTGGCTAGAACCCTCGAAACTTTCAATGTAGACGTATATTGTGCCTCCGAAACACGCACACAAGACCCCACTTCCACGATCTCTCTGAGTTCTCAAGAATTCACCTCAACCTCACGCTTCACCCTTTGTGTGTCAGGCGATTCGGCATCCGAAGCTCGCGGTGTTGCTGGTGTCGGGATTGCGCCAAGTGCCAAGGCTGAGCGCTCACTTCTTGACTGAATTCCAGTCAGTAGCTGATTGTGTGCCGTACATCCCAACGGTTCAGTTCGAGTCAACAGCTACAGAACGAAGCGTTGATGCTTATTCGTCGTATCAGCTTATGCACCGGCCGATTGTAGTGAAACCTGAAATGAAGGATGAAATCTAAGGACGTCGTAGCAGTCGCCGGAGACTTCGATGCTCAAGTGGGATCCCTGGACGAATCAGAAAGGCTTCTTGGCGGACCACATGCAATCCCAGCCAACCGGAAGGACAACGAAGATCGCCTACTTCAACTCTGCACGGACCACAGATTGTTCCTGTCAAACACGAACTTCTCGCACAAGAAACGCCATCGACTTAGATGGAAACAGCCCACCTCTTCACTGCGCTGGGTCCAAATCGACCACATCGCCATCAGTTACCGTTGGAGGGGATCAATTCAAGACTG